GCAGCAAATCACAGAGACTGTTCTGCAGAAGACTGTAGATGGGATGCGTGAGGAGGGAACACCCTATGTGGGTGAGTACCATCTGTAGTCACTGTTTGCTGCAGCAGCCTTCATTTATTTTCACTTATCGTTTATGCCCTTGTCTTTCAGGCGTGCTGTACGCAGGCCTGATGCTGACAGAGCGGGGCCCGAAGGTGCTAGAGTTTAACTGCCGCTTCGGAGACCCCGAGTGTCAGGTGTGTGTTTCACAGGCAGACGTCCACCTTTGCATCTCCTCTCTTTAAAACTAAGCGTTTCTCTCCGCTCTTGCCATTTTCCTCCAGGTGCTGCTGCCGCTGTTGCAGAGCGACCTATATGAAGTGATCATGAACACCATGAATGGCAAACTGGCCTTCAACGCCCCCGTGTGGCACCAGGACAGCTCTGCAGTCACTGTGGTCATGGCCAGTGGCGGTTACCCCGGCTCCTACAAGAAAGGAGTCGAAATCACAGGTACAGGAAATCCGCGATTTCAGCAGGAGTCTTGTTTAAAATCGTCTGAGAGTGAAGATGGAGTGTGGCTTCACTTTTTCTGTGAGCCTCTCAGTCTGTACATGTGCAAAACTCTAGTTCCTTTTTCCTTCATGTTAATGTTTCAGTCTGTGGTTCTGTGGATGTAATAATTCTGCAATCGAAAAAAAAAACGTGCACATTTTATTGCAAAAAATGATCAAGTTAATGTAATGCATTAATTTCTGCAAGTGCTTTACTGAAACCACTACATCTAGATTTTTGGGACATATACTGTGTTTGCGCACGTTATAGTGCTTGGAACTATTAGTGTAACACCTTGGCTCCTCCTCAGGGTTGTCCCTGATTCAGGACATGGGGCTGCAGATTTTCCATGCCGGTACAGCCTTGAAAGAAGGAGGCGTGGTCTCCAGCGGCGGGCGGGTCTTGTCTGTCACTGCAGTGAAGTCGTCTCTGGAGCTGGCCCTGCAGGCGGCCAATCAGGGTGTGACGGCAGTTGGCTTCCCGGACGCGGTGTACAGGCGCGACATCGGTCACCGAGCCATCGCTCACTTGAAACAGCACAGGTGTGTGTGTGGCTAAAAATTCTGTTGTGCTTTTGTTCATTCCTTTGCTGGATATCATGTATTTGAATAATAAACTGCGTCCTTGTTCTTCTTTCCGCGGGTATTAATTTTCATCTTCAGCTAATTAAGTTGTCATGTAGCTGATCTAATTCACAGTGAGGAATTCCCGACTGATTTTTAGCCTCTTTCATTAGCTTCACTGTGATAGCAGCTGCAGACCAACACGATATTACCGACTGTCACAGTTCAGTGAGTGCTGATCAGTTGTCTCTGACAGAGGTCTGACCTATAAGGACAGCGGTGTGGACATTGCTGCCGGAAACAGGCTGGTGGACGTGATCAAACCCCTGGCCAAGGCAACTTCCCGTTCTGGTAATTTTGTTCTTATCTGCAGAAATTGAACACAAAAGGAAGAAAGGGTTTGTATTGTGTTTACACACAGCTTATGAGCTTGTATCTGTGATCGAATGTCAAACCCACAACATTGGGGGGAAATTGTTTAAATGCCACTCTGTAAACCTCATTTTATTTTCTTCCTCTTCTGCTGATGGAAACCTTTTTTTCTAATTAGAAAACGCGTTTTCCTGCCTTTTCAGTAGTCATTAAATGCTGTGATTTTTATTACATCTGTTTTATTCAGATAAAGCAGCCGTAGTCTAAACAACAAACTAGAACGAATGAGTCACTTGTTTTTCTGTCTTTGCCAGGATGTAATGCAGAGCTCGGAGGCTTCGCTGGGCTCTTTGACCTGAAGGCGGCTGGATTTGTGGACCCGATCCTTGTATCTGGAACAGACGGAGTTGGGACTAAGCTCAAGGTGGGATTTCAGTCCTTTAAGGAGAATAGAGCCTGTAAACCTAGCAGTGTTTGGATTTTCTTTTAATTTTTTTTTTTTCTTTTTTAAATCATCAGATCGCCCAGGCGTGTGGGCAGCACGGCATTCTGGGTCAGGACCTGGTGGCCATGTGTGTAAACGATGTGCTGGCACAGGGTGCTGAGCCGCTCTTCTTCCTCGACTACTTCTCCTGTGGTAGCCTGGATGTGGACGTGGCCGCCTCGGTGGTCAGGGGCATCGCAAAAGCCTGCGAAACGGCCGGCTGCGCGCTGCTGGGTGAGAAACAAGACATACCATTTGAGGCTTATGAGGTAAGGTAGATCCGGTCTTGACGTTATGTTGAGTTCATGCCATCTGCTTCTGTTGCAGGTGGTGAGACGGCTGAAATGCCGAGCGTCTATCCTCCGGGAGAGTACGACCTGGCCGGGTTCTGCGTCGGCGCAGTGGAACGAGGAGCTCTGCTGCCCAGACTGGGGGATATCTCTGAGGGGCACATGCTGATTGGAGTGGCCTCCTCTGGGGTTCATAGCAACGGCTTCAGTCTTGTCCGTAAAATCCTGGAGAAGGCAAAGCTCAGCTACAGTTCCCCTGCTCCCTTTGGCAAGTCAGGACAGACTGTTGGTGAGTCAAAGAGATGAAGTGTGCCTTTGCTCCAGGTTACCCTTAACAGTTGAACTCAATTGTTTGTAATTCTGATTCCAGGGGAGGTTCTGCTGACTCCAACGAAGATCTACAGCCCCCTGCTCCTGCCGATCCTGCGCAGCGGTGCTGTCAAAGCCTACGCTCACATCACAGGTGGGGGACTCCTGGAGAACATCCCACGGGTGCTGCCACAGGAGCTGGCTGTGGATTTAGGTGAGACGAAAGCACAAACGCAAACTATAGCATAGAGACAACGACCTGAACAATGTGGAGAGGAAGAATAAGAATGTATAAAAACACTTAACAGAAGTGTTTTTATATTCAGCACAGTTGCAGCACCTCCTGATTGATTATTTACACGGTTTATGCACGGTACAGATGCCTCTCAGTGGAGCATCCCCCCAGTGTTCTCCTGGCTCCACAAGGAAGGAGGTCTGAGTGAAGAGGAGATGGCCCGCACCTTCAACTGCGGCCTGGGAGCGGTGCTGGTGGTCGCCCCCGTGGACGCTCAGAGGGTCCTGAGCCAGCTTCAAGCCCACGAGGAGGCCTGGATTGTCGGTTCGCTGGCCCACAAGGAACCTGGTGAGACTGTGAAATGCTGATGCTTAAAAACAGGCTGGCGGGACAGAAACAAAAGAGACTAAAAATGAACTTTGTGTTCACGCAGGGGCTGAACCTGTGGTGGTCCGCAACCTGAAAAACAGCCTGCTCAATGCGAGACAGGCCTCCAGCAAAGAGGTGGCAGTCGAGGCGAATGGGGGTTGTCACGACAACAGCATGGTACCACGCAAGAGGACAAAAGTAGGCGTTCTCATCTCTGGCACAGGTGTGTTTCTAATAATGGTGAAATGAGTTCATGCAAGTACCATTTGAAAAGTGGTTTAGGAAATCTGTGTGTGTCACATAAAAGCAACAGAAGAGTTTATAAGTCTAACATTGCCACTATCAGGCGCAATGTTTCAGTGACAAAATATCATCTAGACAAGGTATTTGCAATTTGAAAGTCATTTTATTTTCCAAAATATTGAAGTACAGTGTCAGGTGAGGACGTCTTCCTTCTAATTGTTTTAAATGTATGCGGCTGGAGAGAGGTCACATGTAGTGTGCAAAAAAGCGAAGGAGAAGAGAAGTTGTATCCTTGTATGTCTGCTCCTTCAGAGTCAAGATAATGAAGGACCATATTTTTTAAACTGGTGTCTAAAAATAAATGACTATTCTGTTCTCCTAGGCACAAACCTGCAGGCCCTCATAGAGCAGGCCAAGCGTCCGTGCAGCTCAGCTGAGATTGTGGTGGTGATTTCCAACAAACCAGGAGTTCAAGGCCTGAAAAGAGCATCACTGGCTGGCATCCAGACCCGGGTAACAACCAGAAGTAGCTTTTCACTTAACTTGGGGGGGAAAAAAATGCATTTATGATAACTTTGAGTGGGGTTTTGGAGATTTAAAAAGTCTGGATGAGCTCACTGATGTGAGTTTGGAATTAAATAAATACACCCTAAGCAGTGGTCTGATCCATGTGTGCACACTTTCTGGGGGAAAAAACCTGTCTGTCTGGCTCTGAATAGGTGGTAGACCACAAACTATATGGCAGCCGCGCAGAGTTCGATGGCACCATTGATCGCGTGCTGGAAGAATTTGGGGTGGAGTTGGTGTGTCTGGCTGGGTTCATGAGGATCCTCACTGGAACCTTTGTCAAGAAATGGAATGGTAGGCTCCCTGAAGCGCATCTTTTCTTCTGTGAAATATCAGAGATTTAAGTTTTCTTACAGTTTCAGTGCGTTTGTTGTCACAGGTAAGCTGCTGAACATCCATCCGTCTCTGCTACCCTCGTTCAAGGGTGTGAACGCTCGGAAACAGGCTCTGCAGGCTGGTGTGAGGGTCACCGGCTGCACGGTCCACTTTGTAGCAGTAAGTAGGAGCTTGTGTTTAGTTCAGATGTGAAAACCAAGAAGCAGAGTCGTGGGAGGCAGGAAAGTTTAACATTTTGCTGTGGCTTCTGTACTCGATCAGGAGGAGGTGGACGCAGGAGCTATCATCGTGCAGGAGGCGGTGCCCGTGCTGGGTAGCGACACAGAGGAGAGTCTCTCCGACAGAATCAGAGAGGCCGAGCACCGAGCCTTCCCTGCAGCTCTGGAGCTGGTGGCGAGCGGCGCTGTGAGCCTTGGAGAGGATGGACGCATAAGCTGGAAATCTCACTCAAGTTAAAAAAAATAAAAAAAATTAATAATAATAATTATGTGCTGTTTACAGCAATTCCAGTTTACTTCCGTTACACAAAACTGGTTTTAGAGAAATTGAGACACTAACAGAGTGATGAGTAGAAAAAGTTTACTCTTTAAAAAGTCTTCAGCTGACTTTTGTACACATGTGCTGTAGGGTCACTTAAAGCTTTTGAAAAAACCCAGATAAATGACTGCATTAACTACATTCCACATATATCTTGTAGATTTGCATTGGACTCACTAAATAACAGATTTAGCATGATGAGCCTTCTTGTTACAGTATCTGAATGCTTGATTATGAGGTTTTGAATGTTATCATTGGTGACTTGATAATAAAAACTGTGGTTGAATGCAAACAGTCAATTATAAGGATTTCAATCATTTATTTTTATAGTGGCTGTTTTTTGTCCATGGCTACATGGAAGGACATTTAGGACTAAATGTCCTTCCATGGAGCCAGCTTGGATTACAAATATCCTTTGATCCAATTCCTTGCAGTTTTCCCATGCTGTTCGTCCTCTGGAGATTCAACAGCAGTCCAGTTGTCCATGATTTGCTCTTGTTGAATTCTACCTCAGGGGCTAAAAGAAATGCATCCTGGACAAACATGTCCAAGGAGGTCATGTTTGTTGGTTCCTGTGGAAACGCAGGACGGACAGCCTCTCGTTTCTCGCTCTTGTAGACAAACAGGACTCTCCCTTCAAGCCACTTTGGCTCAGTAGGTGGATGATCTCCTCTGGTTAAGAAAAAGGGGGGGAAACAACTATTCAAGCTTCAATTCCTTACAATGAATAATTTGCAATGAATAAAGTCAACCAACCTGGATCATTCTCAGCAATTGTGATGAGGTAAAACAGCCCTTTATCGGACAGCAGCTGCACCACAGCTGGCAGAAATCTGTCTGTCACCTCTCGCCCTCTCTCCCCTCCAGCCCAGGCGGCTTCGATGCCTGTGCTGCCCACCTGAAAAAGAAAACCCACTGAGTAACTGGAGGTTAATGCACCATGCCTGAACTTCATTAACCCTGCTGAGCTATGTGATGCACCTCTTCTGAAGGCGTAACCACGTAGGGAGGGTTAAAGAGGAGTATGTCCACTTTCCCACACAGCTGGGGGAGAAGAGAGTCAGCCTGCAGGAGGAACAACATTCAGATATGCAGGTTGCGAAAACCCCAAACCATAAGAGCAGCTGAAGATTACCAGGTCTGTGATCACCGGCTGCAGGGACACCCTGTTACAGGAAGCAGTCTCTGCTGTGCATTGTGCTGCTGCAGGATTCACATCAGTGCAACTGAAACATAAATGCATGCGTACATGAAACTGGATGCTATGTTTTACATCAGTAAGTCCCATTGGCTGGACATTGCTGCTAGGTACCAGAATGGCTCACATATATAAAGCCGAAGGTCCCACCACCGACGCCAGGAATGCAGACACCACTCCTGAGCCACTGCCCACCTCCAAACATACACACGGGCTGAAAACGGTGAAGAGGCAGTTAAGACTGATAAAAATGTGTGTGTGTCTACTGGAAATAATACTCGATCTATGGCTACCTCATCCGCTGTAGCCGGTCTGCGTCTTTCTCCAGAGCATCAATCAGGAGGAAGGAGTCCTCCGCCGGCTCGTAAACCTCTCGGAAGTCTCCTCGTCCAGCGTGGGAATAAAGCGGCGTGGGGTAGCTCGTACTCATGCTCACTCTACAGCTCACTAAATATCCGCTCCTCCATCTGCTGGCCCACACTAAGGAATCAAGCTCGGCAGAGCCACTGTTTAATGTTTGATGACAATATGCCTAAACTCATGCTAAAAATAAAGGTAGCTCAGCCCCGGAGACGTTCTCGCTGTACTTCCTTATAGGGCTTTGGAGTTGACGTCACGCCGCAGTGTATTGTGGGATCGCGGCGCCATGTCAGAAGGCAACAAATCAAAACAAACACACTGGCCCTTTCTCAATTCTAAGTACGCGAGTGTGATGCATTTGTTAAATGATTGAGGTAAACTTTTATTAGAAGATTTCACCACCAATTATAATCTGCAAATAAATAACAAAGAATTTCAAAAAATTACTAAGGCTGTCCCTCAAAACATTCTATGTACAGCATATAATCTTTTTCAAAACCCTGACTAGATCCCCTGACCTCCCTGAACTCTTGGTAAATGGGCATAACATTACAGCTAACAGTCTAAAAAACTCCCAAATTAGGGAATTATTTACTAATGTTTTTTTCCCTTATAGATCCAATCCAAATTCCATCTCACATCTGTTCTCTAGTGATCAAAAGTAAGAGATCAGAAAAAATTACCTAAAACTTCCCATTCCTCCCAAAGCTAAGGATGTCCACTACAAAATCCTTTCTGGTATTTACCCTTCCAAAGAATTTCTCAGACGTCGCTTTGCTATTGATAATAATTCTTGCTCTTTTTGTGACGGGGATATTGAATCAACAGAACATTTATTTTATAATTGTATATTCTGTAAAGCCCTGTGTGCACTACTGGCTCTTTCCAAAGATTCCAAACTTACTTGAATTTTCTAAAAATGATATTATCTTGGGTTCTCTAAGAAAAGAAAAGAAGCTTGAAAATGTTCTAAATGTAATAATTATGGGCAAATTCTTCATTCACAAATGTCGTTTTCTGAAAACAAAGCCGTCCTTTTTGACTTTTCACAAAGACCTCTGCCTCTTCCTCTCATCTGTTAAATTTATGGACAAAAAACCAAGCTCTGGTTCTGAATCATATGATTATTGAACTAGATCTGCTAGAAAACCCCTAAGGTATAACGTCTTTTTTGTTGTTGTTGTTGTTTTGCTTGTTTGTTTGTTTGTTTGTTTGCTTGCTTTGATTCTGTTTGGGGTTTGTTTTTATTTATTTGTTGTTGTTTGTACTTCCTGTTCATTATCTATCTTCTATATGTTGGAATTCAGCCTGTTCTGATACTATTTCATGTTGGGAAAATAGAATGTTTGTAGAGATTGCCATAATTGTTGTACTGTTCTGTGCAAATTAAAAAAAAAAAGAAAAAAGTACGCGAGTACGTACTCACGTTCTCGGCGAGACCGGACTTGGCGAGAACGCGAGCACGGACTTGTACAATTGGAACACCAGCGTACTTGATGATGTCACAGGTCCAGAGTTTTTACTGCCGTCCCCTCTTAATTTAACTGTGAGTAATATGTTATGAAGCTTAACTTTAATCACAGCCAAACCGGTTTACTCAGGAACAAATAAAACACTGAAATAAACCAAACATTAACATTTAGAAGTGATCTAAGTGACTTATATATCATGTTTAACCTCAGTAGTGAAAGCTCTATTAATAAAAATAGTGTACATGTACATACGTGTACATACCTTAATTAAAACAAGCAGGTGAGATGTTAGAACGCTTTTATTTTAGTGGACACTCAATACAATAGACAGCTACTGGGGTTTGGGGTTTGTTTAACCTGAGTAGCGAAAAGACCGGGGGGGGTGAAAACGATGTGCCGGGAGTCGCTGTTCTCGCCGGCTCTAATGATCCTCGACCTCGCTGTCTGCTATGGAGCTGGCGGGTCACAGACGTCTCCGAAAACGTCGGAGCGCGTTTGGAAACATATGATATCTTGATAAATCGAGCCAATATTTGAAGTTTACACAGCTACATTCTCGCTTGAAAATAACTTAAAAGTTTATTTTGTGACCCAGAAAGAGTAATATTTAAAAGTTATTAGCCCCGCTCGTCCGCCATTGCCGCGTTTGAGTTTTGGACGAAATGCATTTTGGGATATTTAGCTGTACCAAGTCCACACAAGTCGTGTCCAAATTCATGGACTGCATCCTCCTGAGGACCCGTATGGGCCCAATACGTGGTCATAAATATTTTGTACTTGTAAATCAGTTTTATATGTGTAAAAAGAATTTGTGTGTGTGTAAAAAAGATTTGTATGTGTGTAAAAAAGATTTGTATGTGTAAAAAAGATTTGTGTGTTCAAATCAGTTCAAAAAAGCACCCAAATCTTTTTTACACACACAAATTCTTTTTACACATACGAATCTTTTTTACGCACACGCAAATCTTTTTTACACATACAAATCTTTTTTAC